CCCCAAATGTTCCCCTTTAGGGGGGTCCCGCCTCCCCCTGTGCCCTCCCCACAGGTGAGACCCTGCCCTGCACCCCCAAATTTTCTCCTCACCCTCCCCATGGTGTTGACGGGACCCCCCTCCCCGACCCCTTTTTTTTTCTGCTGTCCCCCAGGTTCCTGGGCCAGAATTGGGGGTGCTGGCAGGTGGTGCAGGGAGGGGGATGGGGTGGCCGTGGCTGCCCCCCCAAAACTCCCCTGAGACCCTCCGGACCCTCCCGCACCCCCCCGGAGCCGCCTTTGCCATGTACAGGAAACTGCAGCAATGGGGTGGGGGCTGAAGGGGAAGGATCMCCCCCAAAATCCACTTTTTTCACCCCAAAAAAATAAACTGTTATTTGTAACTTCTGGAGGGGTGTGAKTTGTGGCCTTTAAAATTTCCACCCCCCCCCAAAAAAAATGATCCCCCCCCCTGCTGACCAATCACCTCCTTTATTCCGGGGCCCCCCCTCGCACAGGAGCAAACCACGGCAAACGCCGGGGGGGGGGGAGGGAACACCCCAAAAATCGGGGGAAGGGGAAACAAACAGAGCCCCTTCCCCCATTTGGCATCTGGTGGGCTGGGGAGCGACCCCTCCCCCACCCACCCCAGGAGCATCAGGGCCCCCCCAAAATTGGGGAGGGGTTCTTGGGGGGGCTCAGTGGGAGTCACCTCGTCCCTTGTGGAAGAGATAAATCGGCCGCTGGAAGCCTGYGAGGAGARAAAAAAAGGAGGATTGGGGTGGGGGAAGAAAAGGGAGGGTGGGTGATCCCCAAATTTACAACTGTCCCACTTCATCATCCCTGGAAACCCCTGGTACTCCCAGCGCCAAAATCCCCCTGGATTTGAGGTGCCCCCCACCCCAAATCTCAGRTTCCCCAACTCCCAAACCCTCCAAATCTCTGAGTGACTCCCAAACCCTCAAATTTGGGATATTCCCCCCACCAGAACCTCCTTTTCTATCAAATCAGGTGCTCTCCTCAACCCTCTCTCGTTCCTAAAAACCTCCAAGGATTTTGGGTCCCCCCCCCAGGATTTGGGGTCCCAGCCCCAGGATTTGGGGTCCCACCCTCATGATTTGGGGTCCCACCCCCAGGATTTGGGGTCCCAGCCCCGAGGATTTGGGGTCCCGCCCCCAGGATTTGGGGTCCCAGCCCCGGGATTTGGGATCCACCCCCAGGATTTGGGGTCCCAGCCCCGAGGATTTGGGGTCCCGCCCCCAGGATTTGGGGTCCCAGCCCCAGGATTTGGGGTCCCACCCTCATGATTTGGGGTCCCAGCCTCAGGATTTGGGGTCCCCCCCCAGGATTTGGGGTCCCACCCAGGATTTGGGGTCCCAGCCCCAAGGATTTGGGGTCCCAGCCCCAGGGTTTGGGGTCCCACCCAGGATTTGGGGTCCCCCCACCTTTGGAGCTGTGCTGGGGGGTCCCCAGGAGCTCGCAGCGCTCAAACCCCACCTCGGGGG